GTCGCCGCTTCGATCTTCCTCGCGCGAGAAGTCGAATTGCGATTGAATTATCTCGATCTCGTGATCCTTTTGGTGTTCGGCGATATCACAATGGGTGGTTGCTTTTATCGGACCGACGAGCGCGTTCGATTCACCAGCACGCACGCCCCGCCCTCGTTCGCTTCACTTCGCTCTCCTTTTCTCTCTCCCTTCTCTTTTTCCTTCTCCTTCTCTCTCTCCCTGCGTCGCGAGCCAGGAGGGAGAAAAAAATGCGCGGATCACGTTCATTCATCCCACGGAGAATGATACGACGTAATTATCACGCTTCGCGATCGCGACGCACGCGAGCGAGCGAGCGTGCACACACGCCCGTGCTAATTGAAATGTTCACGCGTGGTGCGTGTGCATGTCGCGAGATATATCTCGCCGTTTCTAGCACTTTTCAAATTAACGTTTCTGGATTATGTCATTGCACTCACACAGACTCACATTGACACTTACAACCATTCTCTCGACTATGTCTTTTTTTTTGTAAAAAAAACAGTTCTGCGAAGTTCACCAGACATTTCCAAGTCTATTCTTACTTCCGGCAAATGGTAGTCGATACTTTCCGGATTGACACGAACATATCGACACATTGTTTCCACCTGTATCACTTCCTTTTGCAGAAAAATAAGAGGAAAAAGTAAATTGAAAAAACATGGTATTTAATATAATGATATATAATACTCTAATAAATACTCGTAAACTATTTTAAACTGTGTCAACGTTGGATGTTAAAACTGCGTAGATTCCTCGTTATTAAACAAGATATTATATTAAAGATATAAATATTGTTTGCACGCTACGTAAATTTTACAATTTTGCATAGAGATCAATATTTCAATGTGCCTCTTTATATATAGAAAGATCGACGTATTTAAAAAAAAAAAAAGATTATTCCTTGCTTAATTAAACATTTGTATGAGTTTTTTTCGCGACGTAAAAACTCTGCTTTAATTATACACGCAATTACATCACGACTTGGCACATGTAAACGCGTATGGACGCGCTTAATTATAATATTTCTGCGCGCGTGTATATTGTTTCGCGATTGGAAAATCGAGCTCGGATATCAGACGTCCTGCATGACTACTGTTCAAAACGATAACCACACAGTGAATGCGACTATTCACTATTCACATGACACGCGGTCCATCATGTCTCTCTTTTCTCCCTGTTTTATTTCTCTATCTGGAACGCGGCTTCCCCCTCTTTGCCCATAAAATGTAACGACGTTCGTCCGTCCGACCCAAATCGCGGCGCGCCACCTCGAATAATGCAAATCAATCGACGCCGATCGAATTAATTTCAAGCGATGACGATGTCCCCTCGGTTTTTCGCGGGCGAGATCCCATGCGAGAGATGTAACACGATGTCCAGCGAAACATTGGCGATTTTACATATTTTTAGTCTAAAAACATGATCCTGATTTTATAATTAAAAAAAATTAATATATTAATTTTATATTATTAGATTCTTACTCCCTCTCTTATTTTTATTGTGGCGCTACTCTGATAACGCGTCGATAATCTTGCTCGATCAGGCATTTAACCGTTGACTTTTTTTAATATTTGCACTTGAGCGATTTTTTTGGAAAACAAGGGGCCGCCATTATAAACGTATTGCGTTTACAACATTGAAATGTCCAGTATAGTTGAGACAATTATTTGAAAATATCTTTCTTTGCAGAATTCCGATTTCTTTCGGAAGATGCGTCGAAGTGTCTCTTTTAGCCCGTGTCCCAATTCCCTTCTTCTCTCGTTCCGCAGAAATTCTATGGTACACTCGTATTCGAAAAGGTCAGACGAGTATGCTCTAAAATCGCGTGTTAAAGGGCTAAATTTATCCGCGAGGACGACACACGGGCGCGGGCGCGCGGCGAAGTCCGGTTTCCCTCCATCTTTCGACGTCAACGATTCAACCGGCATGGAATTTCTGTAGAAACCAAACGGGAAAAGGTCACCGACACGCCAGAATTGGATTGTGAATTTAATTGCGCCGTGAACATAATATCGCAAGAGCGGAATTACATTGGTGGGACGATGTGGAATGCGTTTCCGCGTCTTCCTTTCCGCGCACGGATGCAAGTTGCATCATCTCGCAAGGTCAATATTCAAATACGAGTATACGAGTATACTAGTTCGCCTCGAGAATAATACCGAGGAATTCAAGCTCTTTCAATTCGCGCGTTGCATACATACGTGTCTTGCAATCTGCATAAATGCGTTCAGATGATAAATACGTTTCTTTCAATTAAATCCACTGACGTTGGCATCGTTTATTTCTATAATTGCGCCTCGTTCGCAAAGAGAGTATACTTCTCAGGTTTTTTAAGCGCACTTCTTTGAAGAAGGGCTCTTCCGGCTCGGCTGTTTCTAATTGAAAATGACTTATCTCGCAACGATGAACTTCGTTTTATTTCTACTTGGAATTCGAGTCAGTGCTTTTTTTAATTGCATCATCGCTGAAAACGGTTCAAGTAGAACGGCAAAAAAAGAAGGGAATTTTTTTCTCGCGAGGATCGCGACGTTTAATCCAATGGGAATGAATCTGTGCAACGTTAAATTAGCCGGTGTTAATCGACGACGAATGCCTGAAAAGTCGTTTGCGGAATGAAGCTACTGTGTTAACGATTGTAGGCGAGCCGTTAATGCGGTGAGTTTAAATCGATGCTTTTCGACGCGTCATTTTTTTTTATGTCTCGCTCTGTTTATAAGAATCAGACGAGAGACTGAGAAAATTTAAAACTCTTCAAACAAGGTTTCCAGTATGAGGTAAAGACAGATGAAAAATCAAAATAAATTTTCAAAATTACGAAGATATGAGGGAGGGGACTTGGATTATTATATCTCAATCAGATATATAATAATCTAGGTTCACACATACATATTTTCATAATTTTTGATCAAATTTTACTCATATTACATTTCTCTACAAAATCTCAAATGTCGCTCGTTCATTTCATGATAAAATTAGAACATGGACAAACTGTTGAAAAAAGGCTGACTCGAGAATTTTTTTATCCGCGAGAGGTATAATAATTGCAGCATAATACTTCTATGAAGTCTCGTTGCGGACTGCAAGTCTTTTAAAACGGATTGCGAAGCAGTACAGCGTGAAGAAACGAGTTTGTTGTTGCGCGCTGCTTGCGTTTGCCATTTTGACTACCGGCTTCAGGAATGGCAGCAGCTTCGTCGCTGCCATTTACGACCAAGGGATTCAGATGCGCTAAATTAATGAGTCGCACAAAGGAAGGAGACTATTGTGCTAGACTGTATCGCGAGGTTGCATCGCGTTACGACGTGGGCGTGAGGATTTCGAAAGGCGCGGTCTGATCATGTACGAGTGGAAACTACTGCGCGACTTAAACGTGACTAAACGGTGAGCCGCGAACTAACATTTACGCGCGAATACCAATGTTGTTTTTATCAGCCTTATCGTGGAGGATCTCCAGAACATCGTTCAGCGATGTCTCGTGTATAATTCGAATCGTTGGATCGTAACGAAACGGAAAACCCCGTTACTTTGAGGTATATTTTTAGAGCTACAAAGCTATATTAAATCTGTCCCAATATCATTTTTTATATTTCGAAACGCGGAAGTAAAAAGACGTAAGAGAAAGACAAAAATAAGTTAGCCAATATTCGAAATAGATGAGACAACTGCAATCACACAATATCCATTAACATCGACGAAATTAATCGTAAGATATATGTACGTATAAACGAGAAACACTCGATTTTTCAAGGACTCTAAATATATATTTACATATAAACGTGGAGCACTGTGCGGAGAAAACACTGTGCGCGTAAGATGAGGGGAAAAAGTAGCCGCGAGAAATTAACGTTGAAGAAATTAGATGTCGGACGAACAAGCCGTTGAATTTTTAAGGGTCTCAAATATAAATGTGTCAACGGAGAACCGCACATTTATACCGTAGGCGTCGGCCGCTCTACGTCCACGCTCCGCGCGTCGTCGGGATTCACTGGTGCGCCGCGTCGCTCCGCTCCAAGCCACGCGCGCGACGAGCGGAGGAAGGGGAATGGAGCTCTCCGTCAGCTCTATTACACATCGGTGGCTTTTTGGAGCGCTGAAGAAAAATGTGTAATTAAAGCGTAGCTACCTATGTACCTGTGTGCCGGCGAGACGATGATGAGGGAGGATTGCGCGCGCGCAAGCTCAAGCCGAAGCTGTCCATTGTATCCCATACGAAATTCTCCGATGGCCCTTGTTTTCCTTTTTTTTTTGTTTGCGACTGTCACACGATGAAATAATACAAAGTGCTCAAAAGCAGACCACGTTCTGTCTACCATATTTTTCATCTAAGAATTTTAGATGAAAATTATAAAGATGTATAATATTGAATCTGGTGACAAATCTCACGCTATTCCTTAGATATTTCGTAGAATACACTCTTTAAAAGATTTATAATTCGCTGTAAAATTCAAGACAGAAATTTATTTATAATTATATATACTGCATCTCTCTTACTTTATCTAATATGCATGTATTTTATATACATATATACTTTAATTCTTCAAATATATATAATACAGCATTATAGATTTCTATCACAAATTATATATATCATACATTACTTAAATTAGATTATAAAAGAAAAACTGATCACAGAGTTCATAGATGCATATAGTAATTCGTTAAATCTAAAAATAGAAATTAATGTTAATCCTTTCAAAATACACGATAAGTATATGTTTTATCTATCGCCTTTATTGACGATAGATCGGTCCTTCCGGGTGGAAAATGCTGCAATGGCGATATGGGCGGTTTTTATTGAAGTACCTGCTGCGCATTATTTTCATATTCGCAGGAAACCACGAAATATAATCACATATTATATTTTTTATTTAATTCATATTTTCTATTGATGAAAAATAAAAAAATGCGAATTTTTTAAATAAAAAATAAAATCGATCATATACAAGTGTTATAAGTTTCGAAAAGATTCAAGAGTATAAAAATATTGAGGAGAGGAAAATTTTGTCCGGTAAAATTTAAAAGAAGTCAATTGCTATTGAGTATTTGTCAGCTCCCCCAGTTAATGATTTTATGAGTCACAGTTAATGGATTACCTTGCTCGTTGACGTTCTGGCCGACCCTCCAATCCAGAGAATTACTATTTCTATTCACGCTATAAATGTTATCACAGGATTTGGTGGCAAGGCATGTCGCGTGATGACGACGTCTCAGCAGTCTTGATACTGGTCCCAAGTTTCTACAAAAAAATTCAACATTTCTTAGGTCTACGTTTTACCTTGCATAAAAAAAAAGAGATTTTACAAACGACGCCTATGCCTTATCAGTATATAACGTAAAGTAATATATCAAAGCACATGATAAAAAAAAAATCGATCGAATGTTATCTCGGTAAAACTGATTTCGCTCTATCGCGATAAGAAGATATTCCATCTTTCGCGATAGAGCGATCGAATGAAAATGTACTAACTTCTTGAAGCGTCGCGTCTGCTCGATCGGCGGCTTGTTCTCGGCGGTCGGTCCGCTGGCCGCTTCCGGTTCCGGGCAGTAAGTGCCCACTCGCACGTGGCTGTATGTAGCGCGCAGCTGCACCCCGTCCAGCGGCCGGAAGTTGCTCCGCTCGATGGACGAGACGCGCACGATCTCGATCTTCGGCCGCGCCTCACCTCCGCTTTTCCTCTCCATGATCGACTGTTGTAGCGGCGTCGTCCTCCCTCGTCGTCGACGACGAAATCCACCGACGCGTCGAGAGTTCAATTGCTCTCGACCTTATTGCTCGTTCGATCCTCCCACATCATATCTCTCCGCATCACGGAGGGAAACCGCTGCGTCACGTCAAAGCCTTCGACATCACCTCGTACTTGTCTTCCTTATCTCTCTTCCGACTACGCTCGCACCTTACTATTTCGCGTCGTAAAATCTACTCTTTCCACTCGCTTTTACGACCCACCGTAATCATAGGAGACCAGAGAAAAATACGTTGATACACGAAATATTCGCGTATAAAGTCGCGTGTAAAACTGGAAATTCAAAGCCTACGATTTTTCATTTATATCGACGGTAGAAAAGAGATGCGCGAAGATTATTTCGATGCACGGTACACGTTCACCGTGGTATGCTTTTTCGAATTACAATGTCTCGATCGGAATGATCGACGAGATGATCGCGTTCGTCCTCGTGTCTTCTTGACACTATCCACGTGCGCAACGCTACGTCGCGGATCTCACGGTTGACAGTCGCCGCTTCGATCTTCCTCGCGCGAGAAGTCGAATTGCGATTGAATTATCTCGATCTCGTGATCCTTTTGGTGTTTGGCGATATCACAATGGGTGGTTGCTTTTATCGGACCGACGAGCGCGTTCGATTCACCAGCACGCACGCCCCGCCCTCGTTCGCTTCACTTCGCTCTCCTTTTCTCTCTCCCTTCTCTTTTTCCTTCTCCTTCTCTCTCTCCCTGCGTCGCGAGCCAGGAGGGAGAAAAAAATGCGCGGATCACGTTCATTCATCCCACGGAGAATGATACGACGTAATTATCACGCTTCGCGATCGCGACGCACGCGAGCGAGCGAGCGTGCACACACGCCCGTGCTAATTGAAATGTTCACGCGTGGTGCGTGTGCATGTCGCGAGATATATCTCGCCGTTTCTAGCACTTTTCAAATTAACGTTTCTGGATTATGTCATTGCACTCACACAGACTCACATTGACACTTACAACCATTCTCTCGACTATGTCTTTTTTTTTGTAAAAAAAACAGTTCTGCGAAGTTCACCAGACATTTCCAAGTCTATTCTTACTTCCGGCAAATGGTAGTCGATACTTTCCGGATTGACACGAACATATCGACACATTGTTTCCACCTGTATCACTTCCTTTTGCAGAAAAATAAGAGGAAAAAGTAAATTGAAAAAACATGGTATTTAATATAATGATATATAATACTCTAATAAATACTCGTAAACTATTTTAAACTGTGTCAACGTTGGATGTTAAAACTGCGTAGATTCCTCGTTATTAAACAAGATATTATATTAAAGATATAAATATTGTTTGCACGCTACGTAAATTTTACAATTTTGCATAGAGATCAATATTTCAATGTGCCTCTTTATATATAGAAAGATCGACGTATTTAAAAAAAAAAAAAGATTATTCCTTGCTTAATTAAACATTTGTATGAGTTTTTTTCGCGACGTAAAAACTCTGCTTTAATTATACACGCAATTACATCACGACTTGGCACATGTAAACGCGTATGGACGCGCTTAATTATAATATTTCTGCGCGCGTGTATATTGTTTCGCGATTGGAAAATCGAGCTCGGATATCAGACGTCCTGCATGACTACTGTTCAAAACGATAACCACACAGTGAATGCGACTATTCACTATTCACATGACACGCGGTCCATCATGTCTCTCTTTTCTCCCTGTTTTATTTCTCTATCTGGAACGCGGCTTCCCCCTCTTTGCCCATAAAATGTAACGACGTTCGTCCGTCCGACCCAAATCGCGGCGCGCCACCTCGAATAATGCAAATCAATCGACGCCGATCGAATTAATTTGAAGCGATGACGATGTCCCCTCGGTTTTTCGCGGGCGAGATCCCATGCGAGAGATGTAACACGATGTCCAGCGAAACATTGGCGATTTTACATATTTTTAGTCTAAAAACATGATCCTGATTTTATAATTAAAAAAAATTAATATATTAATTTTATATTATTAGATTCTTACTCCCTCTCTTATTTTTATTGTGGCGCTACTCTGATAACGCGTCGATAATCTTGCTCGATCAGGCATTTAACCGTTGACTTTTTTTAATATTTGCACTTGAGCGATTTTTTTGGAAAACAAGGGGCCGCCATTATAAACGTATTGCGTTTACAACATTGAAATGTCCAGTATAGTTGAGACAATTATTTGAAAATATCTTTCTTTGCAGAATTCCGATTTCTTTCGGAAGATGCGTCGAAGTGTCTCTTTTAGCCCGTGTCCCAATTCCCTTCTTCTCTCGTTCCGCAGAAATTCTATGGTACACTCGTATTCGAAAAGGTCAGACGAGTATGCTCTAAAATCGCGTGTTAAAGGGCTAAATTTATCCGCGAGGACGACACACGGGCGCGGGCGCGCGGCGAAGTCCGGTTTCCCTCCATCTTTCGACGTCAACGATTCAACCGGCATGGAATTTCTGTAGAAACCAAACGGGAAAAGGTCACCGACACGCCAGAATTGGATTGTGAATTTAATTGCGCCGTGAACATAATATCGCAAGAGCGGAATTACATTGGTGGGACGATGTGGAATGCGTTTCCGCGTCTTCCTTTCCGCGCACGGATGCAAGTTGCATCATCTCGCAAGGTCAATATTCAAATACGAGTATACGAGTATACTAGTTCGCCTCGAGAATAATACCGAGGAATTCAAGCTCTTTCAATTCGCGCGTTGCATACATACGTGTCTTGCAATCTGCATAAATGCGTTCAGATGATAAATACGTTTCTTTCAATTAAATCCACTGACGTTGGCATCGTTTATTTCTATAATTGCGCCTCGTTCGCAAAGAGAGTATACTTCTCAGGTTTTTTAAGCGCACTTCTTTGAAGAAGGGCTCTTCCGGCTCGGCTGTTTCTAATTGAAAATGACTTATCTCGCAACGATGAACTTCGTTTTATTTCTACTTGGAATTCGAGTCAGTGCTTTTTTTAATTGCATCATCGCTGAAAACGGTTCAAGTAGAACGGCAAAAAAAGAAGGGAATTTTTTTCTCGCGAGGATCGCGACGTTTAATCCAATGGGAATGAATCTGTGCAACGTTAAATTAGCCGGTGTTAATCGACGACGAATGCCTGAAAAGTCGTTTGCGGAATGAAGCTACTGTGTTAACGATTGTAGGCGAGCCGTTAATGCGGTGAGTTTAAATCGATGCTTTTCGACGCGTCATTTTTTTTTATGTCTCGCTCTGTTTATAAGAATCAGACGAGAGACTGAGAAAATTTAAAACTCTTCAAACAAGGTTTCCAGTATGAGGTAAAGACAGATGAAAAATCAAAATAAATTTTCAAAATTACGAAGATATGAGGGAGGGGACTTGGATTATTATATCTCAATCAGATATATAATAATCTAGGTTCACACATACATATTTTCATAATTTTTGATCAAATTTTACTCATATTACATTTCTCTACAAAATCTCAAATGTCGCTCGTTCATTTCATGATAAAATTAGAACATGGACAAACTGTTGAAAAAAGGCTGACTCGAGAATTTTTTTATCCGCGAGAGGTATAATAATTGCAGCATAATACTTCTATGAAGTCTCGTTGCGGACTGCAAGTCTTTTAAAACGGATTGCGAAGCAGTACAGCGTGAAGAAACGAGTTTGTTGTTGCGCGCTGCTTGCGTTTGCCATTTTGACTACCGGCTTCAGGAATGGCAGCAGCTTCGTCGCTGCCATTTACGACCAAGGGATTCAGATGCGCTAAATTAATGAGTCGCACAAAGGAAGGAGACTATTGTGCTAGACTGTATCGCGAGGTTGCATCGCGTTACGACGTGGGCGTGAGGATTTCGAAAGGCGCGGTCTGATCATGTACGAGTGGAAACTACTGCGCGACTTAAACGTGACTAAACGGTGAGCCGCGAACTAACATTTACGCGCGAATACCAATGTTGTTTTTATCAGCCTTATCGTGGAGGATCTCCAGAACATCGTTCAGCGATGTCTCGTGTATAATTCGAATCGTTGGATCGTAACGAAACGGAAAACCCCGTTACTTTGAGGTATATTTTTAGAGCTACAAAGCTATATTAAATCTGTCCCAATATCATTTTTTATATTTCGAAACGCGGAAGTAAAAAGACGTAAGAGAAAGACAAAAATAAGTTAGCCAATATTCGAAATAGATGAGACAACTGCAATCACACAATATCCATTAACATCGACGAAATTAATCGTAAGATATATGTACGTATAAACGAGAAACACTCGATTTTTCAAGGACTCTAAATATATATTTACATATAAACGTGGAGCACTGTGCGGAGAAAACACTGTGCGCGTAAGATGAGGGGAAAAAGTAGCCGCGAGAAATTAACGTTGAAGAAATTAGATGTCGGACGAACAAGCCGTTGAATTTTTAAGGGTCTCAAATATAAATGTGTCAACGGAGAACCGCACATTTATACCGTAGGCGTCGGCCGCTCTACGTCCACGCTCCGCGCGTCGTCGGGATTCACTGGTGCGCCGCGTCGCTCCGCTCCAAGCCACGCGCGCGACGAGCGGAGGAAGGGGAATGGAGCTCTCCGTCAGCTCTATTACACATCGGTGGCTTTTTGGAGCGCTGAAGAAAAATGTGTAATTAAAGCGTAGCTACCTATGTACCTGTGTGCCGGCGAGACGATGATGAGGGAGGATTGCGCGCGCGCAAGCTCAAGCCGAAGCTGTCCATTGTATCCCATACGAAATTCTCCGATGGCCCTTGTTTTCCTTTTTTTTTTGTTTGCGACTGTCACACGATGAAATAATACAAAGTGCTCAAAAGCAGACCACGTTCTGTCTACCATATTTTTCATCTAAGAATTTTAGATGAAAATTATAAAGATGTATAATATTGAATCTGGTGACAAATCTCACGCTATTCCTTAGATATTTCGTAGAATACACTCTTTAAAAGATTTATAATTCGCTGTAAAATTCAAGACAGAAATTTATTTATAATTATATATACTGCATCTCTCTTACTTTATCTAATATGCATGTATTTTATATACATATATACTTTAATTCTTCAAATATATATAATACAGCATTATAGATTTCTATCACAAATTATATATATCATACATTACTTAAATTAGATTATAAAAGAAAAACTGATCACAGAGTTCATAGATGCATATAGTAATTCGTTAAATCTAAAAATAGAAATTAATGTTAATCCTTTCAAAATACACGATAAGTATATGTTTTATCTATCGCCTTTATTGACGATAGATCGGTCCTTCCGGGTGGAAAATGCTGCAATGGCGATATGGGCGGTTTTTATTGAAGTACCTGCTGCGCATTTGCCAAGGCTATGATAAGCAATTTTAAATCGTTATATGTGACGTTTATCGGCGTGGCTCGTCGCCACGCCGCTTTGATGCGTTATTTCGTCTCGTCTATCGAGCGCACGCCCCACAACGGGCTTTCCATTTCTGTTCTTATATGAAAACAATGTGCTCGTAACGCGAACACACTAATACTATAATCTGTATTCTCCATAAATTATATGAATCCGTTTTGTATATTACGTACAACGTCCCATCCAGGAAAATGCACGTTTTCCCGTTATCTCGGGTACTAAATTGCAACTGTCAAACTTTAATTCGCATCGAATTTCTATCATTTTCCGTGTGAAAAGCCTATCTGTTTACACGTATTTAGTTACATTTGTATCTGTTACATATAGAAATAAAAAGGGAAAAAGTGAGAGAAATTGAATATCAATATACGCGAAATCCCGTCAGCCGAAGAACCAGAGAATATATTACATACATGAAAATCTCGTAAAACACAAATATAATATCATTACAACTTGTCAGATAAGTACATTGTGCAATATTCTCTAACAAAGAGATCAATATAGAATAAGTTCGTGACAGTTAAATTAAATTCTAAAAAATTAAATGCTAGCTTCTTTTCTGTTTTTATTTAGAACGAGAAATGTAGAATAAATAAAGAATATATATTTATATGCTCTTTTTTCAATATCACGAAAGAAGAAAAATTGCGTAGATACTTACTTTAAGAATAAGTTATCCATTGCGAGACCGATGAACCGAATGTGTATAAGGACCTTTTCATTAATCGGCGGAATAATCGACCCGTTTACTTTTATCGGAGCACCCACTCGTTCAGAGTCCGCATCTCTCGCGGATATAGAGAGAGCGAAATGTACCGTAAATAAATCCATTATCTGTGATCATCTTCAACTGATCACCGCACGAGATTCCCCTCCTTCTTCGCCATCACCCGTAATAATTTTACGAAACGGGCCGAGTTCCGGGGACGGTCGCGAAAATATTTTCGCAACCGATGCGGAGAGAGAGAATTCTGCGGCGCGACACACTCGCGAGATCCTGTCCTGAAATATACCGCGCGTGTAACACGTGTTTTCACGGCGTTAATAAAACGCGCGTGCCGATCTTACGTCAAACACGCGTCGTTTCCGAAAAAACGAAGAATCGCTTGTTTTACTCAGATTTTTACGCGAAAGCAGCGAAACGATAAAGTATCTAAAAAATACTACAAATCTGTAAGAACTTTTAATATAAAAGAATAATAGAAAATATCGTTTCTTATTATTGTGCTAATAAAAAGCACAACGATAAATAATTAAGATCCTATAGATACGATATAATATTAATACGCGCAGTTATGAGACAATTAAGGAACTAAACGATAATAGAGTAAGTTGTAAAATGTTTCGACGAAAAAATGAGAGAGATAAGTGAATGACGGGTACTTAATTCCGATCAAAAAGTCATGCGTATCTGATAACATTCGTATTACTCAAGATCTGATTTTAAAGAGAACTCTAATATTTCGCATGCAAATTACAAACCCTAGACGCCCTAGACCCTACGCTACATTGCTCGTGGAATGTTGTATCATGTGTCGCGCATGCTGGAAACCACTGCAGCAACGGACACAGCATCGTCGTCGTCAGCAAGGCAAATCAAATATAGTATTTTTGAAGCCGAGAACACGCGCGAAGCGAACTTAGAAGTTTCTACTAACTGAAGAGTCTGTATCTAATGTTTCTAATGCTGATATCGCTCGTCAAAGTGAGTTGTCGAGCAAAATCCGCGACACGACGTGAAATAGATATATATATATGTACCGAAGTATTCAGAATGCGTTAAAAAATCCGGAAATTGTGCATTCAGAATATATAGATGTAAAGACATTAAAAAAAAAAAAATGGGACGAGAGACGACGAATTTCAGAGATACGATACAAACTCATTCAGTGCGTTGCCCCGACGCGCGTCCCGCCTCGAGATACGTACATCAGTATCGCGACGACGCACTTCGCGGTATCCTGCGGCGACGTCATCGAGGGATGATGCTGTTTGCTGGGTCCTACCGGTAGATCGACAGCCAGACGGTGGCCGCCCTCCCGCGAGTCGCCGATATGAAGGATGAGACGCTCAACTCTTTCGGGACACCCCCTGGAGGGATACACACCCTCGTTGGCGTTCACTTGGCGAGATACCGTAAACACTGTCGTTCCGCGGATGGACCTCCGGATATCGCGAACGTTTCCGGGAACGACGGTTCTCTTTCTCCGTCGAGATGTGTATGTATGTTTATGTGTGCGCCGCTCTATTTATGTATGTATAAAAGGCGCGTCGTGCGCAAAACAATTCTCTTTCTCTGCTCTGTCCGGAGTGTT